CCAGGCTCTGAGCTGGCTGTCAGCACAGATCCCAATGAGGGGCTCAAACCCATGAACCATGAGATCATGACCTTAGCTGAAGTCAGATGCTTAACCGACTGAGCCACCCAGGCACCCTTCTTTACTGCTTTTTAAAATAATGTTTTCATGCCCTAGTATCTACTTGCCTGACCAACAGATTGTTTTTAATATCATTATGAACTCATGATTTTAATGTTTACTCTGTTTTAATCAAGTATTCACATATGTCATTATTTTTTTATTTTTTGTTTGTTTATTTTTAATATTCAAATGGTTCCATCTTTGACTAGTGGAAAGTCCTTGCTGTTGGCTGTTGTGTCCTTTTGGCACAGAAGTCTCTGATAATAGTCTCTTGTTTTCTGATACACAAGATATTCCAGGCTTATCTTGTAATTTCCTGCTCTAGCCATTTCTCCAAAGAGCCCTGGTTCCTTTGGTTTTTGGTTTATTCTTCCATTTTTTCCCTTTTAAAAAATATCATACAATCATATATATATGTGTGTGTGTGTGTGTATACACATGTGTATATACACGTATATATGGACACGTATCATACAATCATATATATGGATATATGTCCATATTTCTCCTGCCTCTTTTTTTTTTTAAAATTTTTAATGTTTTATTTATTTCTGAGAGAGAGAGAAAGAGACAGCGCGAGCAGGGGAGGGTCAGAGAGAGAAGAAGACACAGAATCTGAAACAGACTCTAGGCTCTGAGCTAGCTGTCAGCACAGAGCCTAACGTGGGGCTCTACCCACAAACCCCGAGATCATGACCTGAGCCAAAGTCAGATGCTTAACCGACTGAACCACCCAGGCAGCCCTCTCCTAACTCTTTCTTAAAAGTAAAGGCAGCATGCTATACATACTGTTCTTCATGTTTCTTTTTTTCACTTAACAATGTATCCCAGAGATCACTTTACAGCAGAATATATTTGTGTTTCTCATTACTTTTTTGCAGATGCATAGTATTCCTTTGTGTGAATGTACCCAGTCCCATATGGATGTACGGGTAATATATTTGTAGGCTTTGAAATGAAAACAAAAAAGAAAGAAAAAGAGGAAGCCACAAAGGAAAAGACTGATGACTTTGATTAAAAAAAATGTTTTAACTTCTGTACCACAACAAAAAGATTGAGAATAAAATAACCAAAATAAAAAGGGAAATAGACCAGAACAGGGGTGGTAGGGTGGAGGCTCCAAGATGTAACTACCAAGGCCAGAAGATTAACATCTTTGTTACATGAAGAACTTACAAAAAAATATTTTGAATTAATAAATAAACTAACATCTGTGCTAATAAATGACACAAGTGAAAAAATTGCTAGAAACAAATGTGACAAAAGATTAAAGCCTGTGGCATTCTCAGAAATGCAAATTAAAATCAGGAAAAAGTATGATTTTTGTCCATCACAGCAATAAAATTTACAGCAATGATTATTCTTAATCCTGGTGACAGTGCAAGGAACTGGTATTATTGTGGATAAAGTTTACCCGTGATATAAATCTTGGAAGTAATTTGTCAACTTGAATTAAGAGCCATAAAAAGAATTTTAATACTTAGACCAAGTTATCCCACACCTGGGGATGCATCCTAGGGAAAGAATCTAAAAGAAGAAAGATACTCTTCTTGGTGATGTCAACTGAGTGTTACTCACATCTGAGGGGGCTCTGTGTGAACTGGCCCTGAATCTACAATGCTACAGGTGGGTGGCATTAGGAGGTACCCCTCTCCACAAGTATGTTTGTGTCCG